ATGCGGTGCGGGAGATCCGCAAGTATGACGAGGTGCCTGAGAAGGTGTCTCTCCAGCACAGCCCAGGAGCACTGGAGCATGTGCACATGAAGCTCTTCCGTGCCCAGCGCAACCTTTATCTGGCTGGCTTTGCTCTGCTGCTCTCTTTGTGAGTGCCTCCAGTGGGGTGGGGGATGAGGGGCACTGCCGTGGGATGGGGGCTGTGGGTTGGAAGAGAGGGGCTTGGTGGGGATTTATTTCAAGACTGACCTTGGCATCACCCAAGGCTGTGGCCGGCTCTGGGGTGGCCAGCGGCTGTAGCTCCTCAGCTTCCTGAAGTTCAGCAAGGACAAGTGTAAAGTTCTGCATTTAGGATGGAACAGTTCTGTGTACCAGTACAGGTTGGGGGCTGACTAGCTGGGCAACAGCTTTGTAGGAAAGGGCCTGGGGGTTATAGTGGACAGTAAGCTGAATATGAGCTAGCAGTGCACCCTTGTTGCCAAGAAGGCTAACAGCATACTGGGCTGCATTGGTAGGAGTGTTGCCAGTAGTTCAAGGGAAGTGATTTATTCCCCTCTATTCAGAACTGGTGAGGCCACATCTGGAGTACTGTGTTCAGTTCTGGGCCCCCCCACTACAGAAAGGGTGTGGGCAGATTTGCTCTACTCTGCCTTGGTTAGCTCTGCTTGGCCTTGGTGAGACTACAGCTGGAGTACTGCATCCAGTTCTGGGTGCTACACTTCAGGAACGATGCGGAGAAGCTTGAGAGAGTCCAGAGGAAGGCCATGAGCATGATTAGAGGCCTAGAGACTGGGTCATATGAGGAGAGGCTGAAAGACTTGGGAGTGCTCTTCTCCAGGCTGAAAGGACTCAGAACAGCCTGTACATATATAAGGGGTGCACATCAGGGCCTAGGGGAGCATCTGTTCACCAAGGCCTCCCAGGGAAGGACAAGAAATAATGGGCACAAACTGATTCAGGATCACTTCAGACTGGACACAAGGAAAAACATCCTTATAAGCCAAGTGCTGAGGGTTTGGAACAGGCTCCCCCAGAGGTGGTACAGATGCCTACCCTGGCAATCTTCAAACAGTGACTTGGAGCCCATCTTGCTGGGGTCATCTGATCCCAGCAGTCTTTCCTGCCCAAGTGCTGGGGTGGGGCTGAACCCAATGATCCATAAGGTCCCTTCCAGCCCCTAACAACTGTGAAACTATGAGAGAATCCAGTGGAGGGCTACAAAAATGGTGAGGGGGCTGGGAGATGCAACTTATGAGGAAAGACTGAAGGAACTTGGCTTGCTTAGTTTAGTGAAGAGAAGGCTGAGGGAAGATTTAATAGCAGCCTTCAACTACCTGAATGGAGGTCTGAAAGAGGATGGAGCTAGACTGTTCTTATTGGTGGCAGATGACAGAACAATGAGCAATGGTCTCCAGTTCCAGCCAGGGAAGTTTAGGTTGGATATTAGGAAGAATTTTCTCACTAGGAGTGTAGTAAAACAGGTTACCCAGAGAGGTGGTGGAAGCGCCATCCTTGGAGGCTTTCAAAACCCAGCTAGACAAAGCTTTGGCTGGGATGATCTAGTTGAAGATGGTCCTGCTTTGAGCAGGGGTTTGGACTTGATGACCTCCTGAGGTCCCTTCCAACCCTAACTTTATATGATTTTTGCTGTGCCGTGTCTCATGGCCGCATGCCCGGCTCTAGTCCCCTGCTGGTCTGTGAGCCCAGCCCAGCACTGGCTGATTGTTCTGGTGCGTGGTAGGGCTGTGGGACAGCTCCAGGTCATGCAGGGGCCAAGAGAACCCACTCCAGAGCCAGTCACACTTTCAGTATCCACAAAGAACTAGCTTGAAAGGGTTCTGCCCCAGAGCCATCTGCATCATAGGGTTCCTGTTATACCCACCCCTTCCCTTCTGCAGACCTAGCAACATCTTGGCATTCCTATAGAACCAGCCTTACTGTGTCCCACCCCAGAGCCAGCTGCATCCTGGAGTCAGTTGCACTCAGCTCCAGTGCTCTACGTTATAGCTAGTCCTTGGTGTTCACCCCAAAGCCAGCTGTTCCTTGGCGCACCCCTTTAGAGCAGGCACAAGCAAAATACAGCCTGTGAGCTGGATTCACCCTCTGCTGCATGCTGGCAAGGGTTACAGGGCTGAGTGGGACTGGCCTCACATGCTGCCATCGCCTCAGCCTGAGACTGGGGTGAGGTCATGGGGAGCTGTGCACTATGGAGCTGGGCAAGGCTGGCCTGACTCTCTACCACCCCCTGCAGATCCAGGGCCTTGCACGCTGGGGCCTCTGAGGGCCCCCCCCCCCCCCACGCACACATGCACATACACTCCCACCGTTCTGTCAGCACGCACATGCATTCCCACCCCCATCGTAACCCCCCAGCTCTCCTCATGCACTTACATGCCCCCAACCACATACCCACCCACAGTCCCCATATACACTCCTACCCTCTCACCCCTTGCCATACCCGCATACACACCTGCAACCTCCCACACACACCCCCATCACTACCACATACTTCCACATACCCTCCCCTTACAGTCTTACTTTTCTCTATTATGTGCGTGTATATTTTGAGCTATTATGCAATCAGTCCTAGATACACTATGCAAACGCACATAAATCTGGACAAAAATATTTTTAAATAAAATTAAAATAAGTTATAGTAGATGTTTGTTTGTTTGTTTGTATACAATTCCCCCCCCCCCAATTTCAAG